TCCTCCCAGTATAAGGTGCCACACAGCTGCGCGCACCCCCTGCACACCGCGCACAATGGCTGCGCGCCATCTATCATCTCAGCTCAGACTACGGTGAGGGGGGCTCCCCTAGTCGGGCCCACACCTTGGCCCACTCTGGAGCTCAGCTCTGGACCCAAATGTGTTCCCGTACACAGGCCGCAGGCCAGAGCAATCCGGAGCCCCTTCCTTTCCCCCGGGCTGCCAACCGCGCTGGCCTGTCCTCAGGGCCCCTCAGCCATATCACCGCGGCGCGCCCGCCCACATGGCAGCAGAGAACCATACCAGACACGACGAACCACCAGACCACGACGACCCTCCCTGCTCCGCATCGCTTTGTGGCCCTACGTATGGCAGAACCATCCTCAGCCACAAGCCTGCTCTACAGCTGATGTCTGCCCGCAGGCGAGGAGCGGAGCGCAAGCCTACTAGCCGCGCTCCACCATGGTGACCACAGCGCACCACTCGCGCACCCATCACCTCTCACACGAGCTCCTCGCCACACCCTCCGCGCCTGTGTCGGCCTCCTACCACGCCCATCTTGCGCTCCTGCCCATCTCTGCGCTCTGTGTGGCGCGCGGGAGGCACGCGCGGGGAGAGAGGAGGGGGGCTGCTGGTCACGCTTTGGCGAAGGCCGCGCGCGAGCTTTTTAGAACACCAGGCAGGAGGCTTTGCTGGCCCTGAGAGCATCTATATCACAAGAAGGTAGCAGCAGCTTGTTCAGATCACTTTCATCTTCGTGAATGCCCATACAGCAGTCCACATCCACATCAAGTACACATCCTGCCAACTGTCACACAACGGCGCGAGTGCCAGAATAACTTTTCAGGTTACCCCATTGAGGGACGTAGGGGACAAGTGCCTGAACAGCAACACAAAGCCCGCAAGATAGGGGAACTAGGGCGCGAAACCCCGCGAAGGAACGAAGCCCTCAGTGGGGCATGATTAGCAAAATTTCAGACTGGCGGGAGCTGTCCGCGGTGCTGAACTGGTCCGCACCGCTGAGGTTTTCTCCTCCCGCGGTGAACGACGCTGTCCCATGGGTTTTCCCATTTCCTCTACTTTTCTTTTTTTTAATTTTTAATCTTTTTAAAATATATCATGATGACTTAGTGGGCACCAAAATAAGAATCAAGGAATAAATCGTAAGAGTGAACGTCCGGAGTTTCAGGAGGTAGACTGCATAGGATTTGTAACACCCAGCTCCACCTAACACCAACCATGCCGCAGCAACGACAAATCACTTATCTGCATTCTGTTTTCTAATCCTAAAATGGGGATAAATACATTAACTATTTGCTCCAAAAGTACTGGAAATGAAATTAAGGGAAACCCTATAAACACGAAACCTTAGACGTGTGTCTGCCTACACAAGCGTTTCGTTAACGTTTGTCTACTGTTTTTATAGAACCGGTTTCATTAATACGGCGCGAGAGGGTTATCTTCACCTCTAGGACAATTACAGAATTATTTTATCTCTACTCTGAAGCTTGAAGGGGAAGACCCAGTTCTCTGCCAAGAATGTGGGGGAGAGCGGATGCAGCAAGGTGCCGTCCTGTCCTTGAGGCAATTCGGATTTACTGAGAACCCCTGAAAACTACTTCAGGCCCTTTATCCTGTTTGACGGCATCGTGCTCACAAAGTTGATCAATGTTCGTAACCATTTACAGATCAGTGGAAACTGAGGCTCAGGGTGTGAATGCCCCAGGCGCGCCCCAGGGAGGGAAATGGCGTTACCGCGACAGGAGCAGCGCCCCCGGCTGGGAGGCCCCCAGCGGAACGGAGGCTCTCTCCCGCCGCCAGCCCACGGCCGACCGCGCCCTGCCGGAGCGTGGGCCGAGACAAAGGGCCAGGGTCGGGCGGGGGGCGGCGGAGAGGCCGAAGCACGGCCGAGGGGAAGCGGGAAATGTCCTCGCAGCGCAAGACCTCAGGGGTCGCGGCCGACGCCGTGGTCCCACTCGCAGGGGCTCTGGATGCCCGACTCCCATCGTTTGTGAAACAGGAGAGGGCACTCGCGGGCTGGCTGGACTCGGACACCGCGCCCCGCGCGCGGCAGCGCCGCCGCGGACGACGGGCAGCGGCTTCTGCCGCTCAGTCTCCCGCGTTGCAGAAAATGGGAACCGGCCGAGGACGGCGGGGAGGCCGGAGCCGGCGAGCGGGGCGGTGCGGCGGGCCGGCGGCGCGCCTCCTCCTCCGCGGCCCGGCTCCCGCGGAGCAGCCGCCCGCCCTCCCGCATTCCGAGGCTGCCAGGCGGGCCAGCGCGCCAGGCCGCGGGCGGGCGCGGGGCGAACTAACCGTACTCCTAGATGGAAGATGGCTGTGAGTCCCGTGCCGATGGACATTCACAGGGGATGCTCTGCCCAAGACAGACACAGCACCTGGCACACACACGCCAAGCTGAACTGTGAAGCCATGTGGCCCACATCTGCATACCTCTAGCGGGTCAAGGGCTCCATCCGAGAGCCCCCACAAACACATACCATTCTGCACATACAGTTGCATAAGCTCACCTTGCCTCCACACTGAACCAGCGGCAGCCAGGCCCCGCCCCACAGGGGCCACAGCTGGTAACAGACGGAAGCCGCGAAGCAGTCTGCGTGCATAAACCCTGGCACTCCGGGTGAGCCGCCCATCACACCTGGCAGTATTACTACCCTCCGTCCGTGCAACAGCAAGGGAGCTCACTCACCGCCGGCCCAATCGTGCATGCTCGTCTGCCCACAGTGAGCACGTCCCAGGGGGTGGTTCGCGGCAGGGACCCTTGCTCGCTTCTGCCCGTGCCCCCTGCTACTGTTGCCTTGACCCCCACGGATCGACGGAGGAA